GCTATTCTAAATTAAATTCGGTCAAATATCAACCCCACTTTAAATTATTTACGTAATTGGATGCTGAATTTGTAGAAAATCACTGTTAAAGATAACATTGTGCGTTGCCATGGTAACCGTATCGTTTGATGGGCTTTGGCCCGATGTTGTGTGTGTATATATGTTCGATGAAATATTAACATATTATGTTTCGTTTCCGGATGCGGTACATGGGTATAACATTTAGATTGCGGGTGGTTGCTATTCATTGGATTTCAAAAACAATGTTATTGAACATATGTAATCACAATCGGTTTGATTATAATCGCCATTCATAAAATATGAATTTTCAAATTTACATTGAAAGCCTAAGCGATGTGGACCCCGACCTAGCCGAATGTGACGTGCATGTGTTTTCGATGTGTGCGTGTGTGTGTGTGTGTGTGTGTGTGTGTGCAATGTACATTGTGGTACATGTTAAAGTTTTTCCTTGTTACATAAATTAATTTTTGGGGTATCTTTTGTCGACAATTCCTACAAAATCCATTATCATTTGTAGTCAACGCAGATCTAATATATCTACGAATATGAGTAGTTGCTATGCCGAAACATATTTTCAGTAAAATTCATTTTAATAATTTATTGGTACACATGTTTTATGGTTTGGTCTTTGATTCAAATTTCCTCTCTCCATGCCAAAGTCTCCCTGCGTCCATCAGCAACACCCATCCCGAACCACTTTCGATTGTCTTTTAGTGTTTATGAGTTCAAATGTTCAAAAAATACTTTCGAAATATTGTTGTTGTTTTTTTCGAAAACCGCCGACTGTTATTTTAAATCATTTACATAAAATAGACGGCGACGATGGTGGCGGCGGCGGCGGCGTCATGTGATTTGTGTGGTATTTGGAAATCGGATTTCCTATATTTAATGAGCATGCTTGATTTCAATGACAGTTTGTGTTGTTCTGTAATACATTTATACATGGGTCGTTTGGTTTTTCCATCTGAATTAGAACGCACAGTCGGTATAATGAAATGCGTATGGAAAATCCATCGAATTATTTTTCATAAATGAGCTTCATAAATGAAAAACATTGAATTATTCATTTTATTTGGTTAAATAGATGAAAAAGCAGTGAGAGAGAGAGAGAAAGAGGTAAGAGAAAACTTTTGTTGCGCTATAATTCTGCATGTGGATGGTGTCATTGGATGAGCTGAAGCGGCGTGTGCTTGATATACATTGCAAACAGTTTCTATTTTGCAACGAATACGCAGTGACCACTTCCCCAGATTAGATTGAATCATAATTAATGGAAATATTTTGTTGCATGCAATAAAAATCCATTTCATTGCTGTTGATTTTCCGTGCCGTCAAATTTAGATTGCATCATGCCACACCATACAATTTCAAAAATCAATTCGGCACTCGAAACAATTCCGCATCTAATTCGGTGTGTGCACGGTACAAAATTCACTAAAACAGCTTAGCGGAATATATAGGAAACACGCAATTGCGTCTATGTATTTCATTATTATTCAGTCGGATTATGAATAAATGTGTGCGACAGTGAACACTTTCAATGGCTTGCATTTTGAAATTGATCAGATTAACATTTAATTCGATTCAATTCAGAACCGGTATACAACGCCCCGCCAAAAACAAAACCGTATGACATTTTACATTAATTATTCATGGATTTTCGGCAAAATACGACATTATTTCATATGCCAGAGTTCAAAACAAGACAAACAACAATCCTTCTTTCGGTGAGCATTGTGTTGTTGCAATCGCATGGATACCGTTGACCTCGTCAGGTTTGGACACAAAACCAGAGAGAAAAAGAGAATCAGGAATGAAACTTCTTTTCCTCGTTACAATAGAAGAGTTGAGTGCCACGCATTTTTTTTGCGTTATGCATTGCTTCTATATAAACAATGGATTAAATTGTGAAATAAAGCAAATTAAAGCACTTGTTGTTCATGCTTTTGCATAAATATGAAAATATTCATATTTTGTTCGGGGATTTTTGTGAACCGAACATGACTTAACATATATAACTTGCTATGGACGGTGTAACTAAATTTACTGTGTTTGATGAGCATTTTCCGAAAACGAATGTTCGCAAATACATCACATTTCGGTTGTTTCACACTTTTTTTTCTTTCCTGAAAAAGAGTTTTCGTCAATTATGGAAATGCTACACACGCCCGACATGGAAAAACAGCCGAAACGCAACGGTGGTAAAGGTAATTCAACTAAAGCAATTCTAAGTTCGACATATTTTCACAAACACACGAAAACCTCTTTATTTATTTTCCACCTGGATTCATTTCAACTCCAATATTCAAACGTCTACTGTTCACCGTAGTGAGCATTCCATGTGTTAGTTTTTCAGTGTTTTTCAGTGTACATTTTTCGTTCGTCATTCGTTCGCCTGTTGATAGTTTTGATGGAAAATAAGCACGACTTTTCCGGGAAGGAAACATGCTGTGGAAAATATTTTTTTTTGGCATCAAACCATTTTAAGGAAGTATTGGCTACTCACATTTACTGCCATACTTTTCGGAAGTTGTTCACCCTTTTTTGTTACTTTTTCTTTTAACTTTGATTAATTTACTTTTAACTTTGATCGTATTTTATCAGCAATTCAAATGTATTGCGAATATTATACGCGAAAAACCAGTTTCTCGAAAAAATATTTTCGATTCGAAGATTTTCAAATCTTTTTATGCTCTTAATTTTTGTTATTGCAATTTACGACTGAAACTCAAGATATAATCCATTTTTGTAAGAAGCTAATCTTTTTAATAACTTTAAAAATGAACTGGCAACAAGAAACTTGAAGAAATTTTCGATAAAGTTTGAGTGGATTTAATAAATGCGAAATTATAATGAGCGAAAATGCATTGATTGATTGGATTACGTTGTTGAATTATTGAATTAAAGTATCAAAAATTCGGAATTCTTGAATAATGAGTTTTCGTGTTTTGGGTTCATTCAACTTTTTTACCTCTCACCGGAGAATTAATGCCATGTTTTTGTACCTCTATGTTGCTTTCGTTTCGTTCGTTATGTATTCTGTGGTTAATAAATACAAAGAATATAAGGCTTTCGTAAGAAATTAGATTCAAATGTCCAGTACCATGGGTTATGGTCTGTGTTGATATTCCAGTGTTTATGCATTTTGGTTGTTTCCAATAACTTTCATTTTTGGTTTGTTTTTTGTTGTATGCATGAAATCCAATGTGCGTGAGTGATGTTGGGTCTGGTTATGAGGGATTGAATTTTACTTTGTATTTTTTACATGTGTTGTTTTCCTTTGGTCGCCAGAAGCGATAAACTTTGTGTATAAAAATACTGAAGACAAAAGGACGTTGACGTGCTTTGCTGCCAATGGCAACCAATCACCAAAAGAAACATGCTTCTTTTTGTTTAAACAACCAACGACGAGAAAAGAAATTGAAGACGCACATGATCACCAAGAAAAAAAATATTCCAAATATACACAAAAGAGTCTTTTATGAACCGACCAATTGCTTTAAGTGGTAAAACACTGTGGTTTGATTAAAAATAACCGAAAATATGAACATTGAAAACGATGCAAAAGTTCAATCCAATCAAATTAAGAAGTTGAGTCAATTGCAGAAGTCACGTGCTACCATTTTTTGAATTATATTACTTTCAAGTATTTTGATGGGAATTTACATTATTTAAACGGTTTATATACAGTTGGTGTCAGTGTCTCAACTGTATATTATGAAAAAATACGGGATAGCAAGTTTATTTATGAATTGATGTCCATTTGAAGCGAGAACTTATAATCAAATCGACTTTAATATTACATTGAAAATTATAAACCACTTGCCGACAAAAAACCCCAAAAATGATGTATTCCATAAAATCGGCACACTTAATTACCGTGATCAAGTTGATATTTGTTCGTAATGGACTATGAATATCTATGAGTATGAATGCGGTAATGATGGCATATTTTAATGAGAAGCACGTCCTTACACCAAGAAGCGGTGAAGCCGATTGAAATTCAATTAACACTACATCGTCGTCCATACATTTTCAAGAAAATAATTTTCTTGAATGGTCACATTCTGTTGAGCAGAATTCTCATCGGGGGATAAAACACATTGAAGCACATCGTCTATTTATTTGACAGTCTTGTACTTGGCATTACTATTTGCATTATTTAGTGTAATCCAATTAAATTCAAAACCCTTAATCAATCAATCAATTGCATGCAAAATTTTCGTTTTCAAACTGAAGTGGGATGGCGTAGTGGCTGATGGTCGTTGCATTCGCAAATGTATGCCTGAATGATTGGACGGGGTCTAGGTAGAAGATGAAAATGCTTCACGCCGCATCATCGAATAATCAAACTATCTAATATGGTTCGCAAAATCAATTGGCATGCTGAGGTGGACTCTAACAAAGTTTGCGCTTGCACAAAACACTTGATCGAATTAATCGAAATAATTGTAGAAATGTTTTTGATGACGCACAAACCGAAATGCAGTCGAATGACATAATATGCGATGTGTGAATTTATTATATTGGAAGAAAGAAAACCATTGAAATGCCAACGGAATACGACGGCTTGGTTGCGGGATACATTTGGGATGGTGAGAGCAGTTGAGTGACGTGTGAAGGACGATATTTGTTTAATCGAGACGAAACGTGGGCACATTAAATTTTATTGGTGACAATATGACAAACAAAACAATGCTACCTGATTAAAATACATACGACACAACATTGTACAAATTGTGTGCGCGGGCGCGCATAGAAAATGTGCACAACACATTGGAATATATACATATAGCATCGAGTGAGAAATGGTACGCAGAATCTAACACACAAACGACAAATAAGAATCGAAATTCAATTTTCCGATCACGAACCAGTAATTCATTTGACCATCTAAATCATGATAATGGTCGTTGTTTTTGTTTCTTTTTTTTTCTTCCATTTGTTGATTACTTGCTAAATGTTATTTACATGCTTACCAGTATATATCGCGAAAAACGGAAGCAAATCGTATTCGATTCAACGCTGTTGTTTTAACATGCAATGAAAATGCCGTCTACCTGAAAAACAAAATTGGAAATTACCATTAGAACGTACGAGATGTTGGGCGAATTTATTTAAAATTCAATGTAATAAATAGTTGTTGTACCAATTTTATTCGATGAAAATTAATTAAAATTTCACATCAACAAGAGTTAAACAAGCACACATTTGCTTGGGATATGGTTTTAAACGGTTCATGTACCTTTCGACTTTGTACAAAACGAAAACCGATTAGGTTTTGATAGTCATCAATTTATCATATTATGATAATAATTTGATAATGATGTTGGTTTTGAAATTGTTTGAAAATTGGGACACAGACAAACTCTTAAGCACGCACCAGCTGTTTACAACCCGGACCAATTGATTTTAAGTGTGGCGGGTGTGAGAAGAAATGATGAATCCATTGAATGAGAAACCAAAAATGGGGTGAGAGCGGATGACCAACCATTTTAGCTATTCATTTTACATTTTCAGCTTAACCTCAGAGAAATGGTCAATAGTTCGAGTTTTTGTTGTATGACATCGGCATATAATGAGGAGATCCTTTTTTTCGGGTTGAATTTCCGGAAGAATAGATGCCGGTCGTACCCCCTTTTTTACTCGAGTCAATCGGATATCAAAATTCCATTCATGAATGCGTCAATAGTTAAAAGAATTTATTCATTCTTCTGGTCGCTCACGAGATCTTCAAAGAAAACATTTAACGAAATGTAGTTGTCTGCTTTTCATCAACAAAAAATGTACCCGCCGTAAAGCTTGTTACTTGATAGTTGCTATGAGCGCACCGAAAATTATAAAAAAAGAAAATTTATTCCACGAAAATTGTATAATATTGTCCATATTTTGATATAAAATACATTAAAAACGTAAATCACGTCCTAAAAGATGTGTGCAAAATGTGATTCATCATTATGAAGTCTGAAGGAGATTCGAAAGTGACTAGTGAATAGTAAATAGTGCAATAGGAAACATCATTTGAGTGATGTGTGCGTGCGTTGATGGTGTTCAAAATTGAGAATCGAAAGGTCGGATCCTTCGACGGATGGGTTTTTACATTAAGTATGCTATTATCGTAAACCAAATTATAACATTTTGTTCTAATATGAATTTATTATCCATGTGTGTATTCATTGCGTGAGTACGGGCGAGTCTAAGCCGGGTCTCTCTCTCTCTCTCTCTCTCTCTCTCTCTCTTATAATGTAAGAGTCTTACACTGTCATCCAAATGGATTAACATTTCATGCGTAAAACATAAAGCCAACATGCAGAATGGTAACAAGTGCGGCCCAGTTCGGCATTGTTTGCAACACCACCTGGATTATGTGCATTATGAAATTGTGTTTAAAAGCAATGACTTCCGTTAATTTCCATTTATTTCGAGGAGCGAACTCAAGTTTCAGTAAATTTGATGATGTTGTGACTGTTTAAGAAAACACAACTAGCTTTAAAATACTACATTGCATGTGTGTATTCGTATTTTAATCTGAGAGGGAGATGCTATTTAACCAAGTGTTTTCTAACAAATGCATATAACTTTAAAACATTTTTTTTAAAACTCGAACAGATGAATTAAGTATGCGAAGATAAATTCACCCTTTTTCCCGGTTAAATGTATGCTGTAAACTTGATGATCATATTCAAGGACTTTTAAACGCGATGTCATGCCGGCAATATGGTATGAAGCGCTTTCACTTTGGATGTTGCTTATTTTTCTCATACTTCATATCTCATGCTTAGCATGCAACGAACTGAATCTCTCACTAGCAATAACTTACGTAAAACAGTTTATTATGTACGGATATGATTGAAATAACATGGCAAAGTCACAATATAATTGACTAACACATCTTTGCGATGCATATTTAACAGGGCACGAATAATAGAAGGAAGACGCGTCAAATGTTTTTCGAAATGTTGAACTATCTGTACCGGTGCCAGTCATACATTAGCTTGATAACATTTTTATCAGACATAGAGATACTTAACGTAAAATTCAAAAGGGGATAAACATTCACACATGCGTTTTTCCAGTGACATTCATTTTGAGTGCAAAAACACATCATTACCACGAACTTATCCGCCCACGACAAAAACAACGACATACACTCGAAAATGCCCATCATCATTGTCTTATTCATTTTCACAAAATTCAAATGATACAAAAAACACACAACTTTTAAACAGTAATGCGAGTATGTGATTCGTCGTCCTCCACTTTTTTGTGTCTGTTGTCATGCAATCAGTGTCAAAATGGAGAAAGTTTATCCACACTCACAATCAGGTAATATACACATTTCAAACGTGGACCTATTCTTATTTTAATACAAAAAAAACTCCCAACAGGTTAGCAGCTACAAAAAACCGGATGTAGAGTTTCATCCATAAAAAGTGGTTTTTTGAAATTCATATATGAAATGTAACAACGGACCTCATTTAATGGATCTTTGTAGTTTTATGTATGCATATTTGTCTTAGCTTTGTTAAGCTTTTTGTTTGAATTTTATATATTCAGCATTTAAATGGAAAGATTGTTTTTTTTAGTTATATTCATTTAATGCTCCAACTATCGCAAAAACATTGACCATTTCAAACTATTTAATTCCATATTTAATTCGTCCGACATTTTTTCACTGCAACTTGGTCGTATATGCTTTGATTCGTCTCTTCCATAAGCCACTGTGATGGAGTCAGTAAATGGAAAAAATTATGTTTGGCAAAAAACCAGAGACATATCTTGACATAGTAATACAAATGAATAGAACCAAACCAAATTTACAAGTACAACTGTCACAAAGTGCATCAATATTCTATAAGCTACTCATGTTAATTTCATAGACAAAGTGGTTTGTATTCACATTTATATGGTGGAATGGAGTTAAATGAGATGTTATTTGTCTCATTCCACCAATGTATATTTGCGCAAAAGTTTTCGGTGAAAGAAAAACGAATTTATTCATGTTTTGTACGAAATAGGATAACACAACTATTTCCGACATAGACATACATTTGATTAAATAGATTTAAACAAAGCTCAACAGAAAAAAATAGTAAAATAAAAGGATTCTAAACAATATACAATCGGAATTGCCGAGATCAAAATGGATAAGCACTGAAATATCCTGTTGCCGTTTTAGAACTACTGTCTACATTTGATTTTGTAATTCAATCAAAACACACTGCAACAATGCAGAAGGAAATGAGAAGCAGAAGGAAATGAGAAAAGGAGCAAGAGAGAGATGGAGAAGGAGAGAAAGAAAGATATGAGAGGGTGAGAGAAGGGCCAGATCAGAGTAAATTTGTGAAATGTGCTTAAAACGAGTTTTGCTTGTACTCAGTTGTTTATAGTTAAATCTCTGTTTTGAAACTTGAATGTTGCTGTTTAAACGCGATTTACCGATCCTCAAGCGATTTATACTCTTGGGGATTGCGCACACTTACACCCAGACACACACACTATTGCACACAACCGTAGTTGGATCTATGTCGTTTTTATTTCGAATATTTCGTCCGTCAATTTTACGAAATGATAATCGATTTATGCTTCTGTATAACGAAGTTCTGTCTCGAGTTTTTATGGCAAAAACTGCGACAATATCGGCTAAAATAAAATTCAACACAAAGAAAAAAAACTCGAGAAAAAAAAAAACATTTCGCTATGAATGTCCATTCAAAATTCAAATGAAGTCCCAATCGATTCGGTAATTGTATGGTAAAAAAGTGCCACCATTTTTTACGGCCAGAGGGTAAATTTTCGGTTGGCTCGAACAAACCAAAATACATTTACGATTACGGCAGCCATTGATTTGATGGACGGGCAGATGATCAAAGTGCTCAATTTTATTACATTCTGATGTTTTTGCATTTGGAAAATATTTGAACAAAATTGTTTGTCATGAATTTTTGTCTGGTCGAAATGCGGTGTTTGACTGATTTCTATTTTTGATTTTTTTTTTTTCGGTTGCGGGCAGTGTATGCCAATAACCTATGTTTGCAAAATAGTCAATGTAAACTTGTTCACTTTTTTTTATGGGGAATATAGTTATTGATGTTCATAATTCATATGTGTCCCTTTTTTGGACATCAAACAATGTGCAAAAGTTGACATAGACCATCAGTCTAAAATAAAACATTGGAATATTTTTCCTATTTTTATGTTTAATGTCTCAGTAAATGAATGATAGATAAAAAGAGAAGAGAGAAATTTATTCGCAAAGCAAAAAAAACGAACACGAACTGATGAACATAAAATGGGTTAAACACACTCCAGAGACCAATTCATGTTCCAAAATGCTGACGTTTGTTTCGATGAAAATAGAAACGGTCAAAATTTTTGAACGAGTTTATATATCTCGCTTTTGCTGCTATTAGGGTTTGGAAAAGAATGGCAGAGGGCAGTAAACGGAATTCAGAAACCATTACATCCAAATGGACATTGGATACATAGAATTCATGTGTGTGCGTGTATACGAGTGCGCTTTTGTGTTGTTAAATGTGCAATAACTCGACTGGAACCACTTTGATGCGCAAACTAAACGCTCACTGACACAAAAACAAACACACTGATTTCACTGATGGCCAAAAGTGAGAGCCAGAGCAAAAAGAAATTGTAAACCGAATAACAAACAATAACGATAAAAAAAGAAGAAAAAAACTTTTTCTCTTTATTCGCACTTATATATATAAAACTTGACTGCTTCATCCTGTTGTGTGCCTTGATCTCTTACGTATTTTTTCCAACTGGGATATAGTGAGTTTTATTATAATAATAACACCTTCGGGTAAATATTTCGAATGCTATTTACAATTTTTTTCGATTAGACGCAGGGAACCATGTCAGCCGGTGGTGAATGCCAACAAAAACCAATTTGTTTTTCTCTATTTGCGTTGCAACATTCAACTTTCACAAATTTGTTTTACGAATGAGCTAAAAAAGCTTTTGAACGAATTTGCTGGTCCGGCATGAGATCTTGCACCAGCCTCTCAGTGGCTTTTGAAGTCGAAAAAAAAAAACAAAC